TTTTTTTTTTTTTTTTTTTTTTTTTTTTTGTGGATTTATAATCACGTGTACTTTGTAAAAGTGCAGATAACCGCGTACTTCCTAGTGAGCTGTCTTTCCTTCATACATTTTTGGACAATAGGTGAAATGAAACAAATCGAATCCATCTTGAACAAAGAGTAATAAAGCACAGTTTTTTATTTGTTTGGTTATTTATTACATCAAGAATTAATATCTATCCTGGGATAACGAGTTTTGAATATTTATTGTGACTGGAATCAGATTTTCAGAAATTATGCTACTCTTGCTTTGAAAAGGGTCTTGTCAAGGTCATATAGCTTTCTTAACTGGCCATGTCAAGGTCATGTCTAGGCCATGTCAAGGCCAGTGAAGATTATCTCCTTCAATGATACGACTTCAATGAGCAAGGACACATATCTTCTGGAACTCTAAGATATTCCATATCGTTTTGGTTTCCTTTGAAATAGGATATACATTTAGAAATTGCAGACCACATTGCTCTCTTTCTTATAGGCCCATTTCTTATTTGACCAGAAAAGAATTAACAGATTTCAACTTATGTCAAAGTGAACGATTTGAATCACCCAGTTATTTCACACTAAGATAATGAAATCTGATTCTGATCAGGATCTTACGTTAAAACGTGGCACCGGTGACAAATCGAAATCAGTTCACCTGAAGAACTCTTGATAAGGTCGAAACGTCGCGATCTCCGTTTCAACATAAGATTCAGCACAATAAGAATCAGTTTCCATTGTCTTAATCTCTATATCATTAAAATGAAAATTAACAAGATACCCGGGGGGGGGGGGGATTTAATGTAAACATTTTTTTTCACTTTTGTTCTTCTTTTTACCTCACAAAAGCCGTCAGAATGCACCCGCGTCTGTCGGTTAATGCGGTTCGACCACACTTGTAATCCGCATGCAATACCCGATCTCAGACGCTGCCTCGTTTAATGCGGTGACGTAGAGAGGAGAAACCAAAGTAAAAAATAGCAGCACTGCGGTCGCGGGGAGTTATATTTAGACGCGGACGCCAAAGCGCAGCAGATTAGTATGTACGAGACAATTGTAGATTGGCTCCAAATTCAGGAAATCAATAAACCGGAGTTGCCTGGGCGTTGAATTTGCCAAAAATAAGAGGAACAGTTTATTAATAGTCGAGCTCTCAAATTTGTAGGCGGGCAAGACGGAAGCTTCAAAATTTGTTAGGGTTCAGGCTAATATTGCATATCTATATTTAAATGTGCGTGAGGTTCACGTATACCTCTCATTATATATTTATATTTTTAATTAGCTTACTAAAGAGTCTGACAGATTGGTATTGCCATTACATCCGCCATATAACACCTTGTAGTTCTCTTAGCAATTACAGATTCATTATGATTTCCGTACTTTTGGTACAATAGTTGGGAATCATTTTATCCCACCCGTCCGCGAGTCCGTAAGACCGTGCGTCTGTGTATCAGTGATTTCCGCTATTTCCTCCTAGACTAGTTTGGAAGCGGTCATTTCGGTGATTGTTATACTTATCATCAGGGATGTGCTTGGGCACTTTGGAATTTTAGTGCATGGGGTTGGGCTGTCCCTAGGAGTGGTTCATTTTTAATATTTTTCACATTGTAATATCTGCTAATTCTTCCTAGACTATTAGAGTGAGAAAGTTCAAACTTTGGGGATTGTTAAACTTGTAATAAGGGATGTGCATGAGCTCTTTGGGGTTGGGGCAGTTCCTCAGTGGCGTATTTAGGAGGTGTCAGGTTTGTCCGGACCCCCCCCCCCCTTCTTCGATTTCTGAATAAAATCAAACCAATGGTCCCCTCCTGACATTAGAATTTTGACTAGCTGGTCATGCATCATAGTTCTAAACCGTAGGGTCTACCAAATGGCACCGTGCGGCCTATGAACTACCTAAAATTTTCGGGGCCTTAGCTTTGGCTTTGCGTCCTCGGACACCCGATCAAATAATCCTGGATCCGCCCCTGTCCCTGGGGGTGGGTGATTCCAAATTCTTTATACATTATAATTTTTACTTTCTACTCCCAGACCATTTGAGTGAGGAAATACAATTTTTGGTAATTTAGGGACTTATGATCAGGAATGTACATGGGCATCTCGGAATTTTAGTGCGCCTTTGACCCAAGCATTGTTATACATGGAGGGAATGGTGTCTATGGGATCAGCTATTTTTTACAATGTGGGGTAGTGCGGGGATATGTGATGGTTACCCATCTACGTCAGTTTGTGTGTAAGAGAGAGAGAGAGATTTAGACAACTCGTTTGCTCATCAGGGCTAAAACTCTAGTCTATGCACATACCAGCAATGACAGGCGATCTGACACACACCTTGAAAACGGGTAGTGTGGTCCGATTTACCGGTTAATTCAGGATCCATATGTGCCGAGTCTGGTAGTTGGGTAGGCCTGAATGATAGCGAGGTGATAATTTTAAGAAGCGTAGGCCTGTAGCCAGCAATTGTAAAGGGGTGGGATTCTTTTTTTTTTTTCAATATGGACCATTTAACCGCGAAAATTATGCTTCTCCGCTGATGTAGAACGTAAGTCAATTTTTTATTTGAATTTTTCCGGCCATAAGGGCGGTCCAAAGCCCTACACTACACCACAAAACATACCACCTGAACCCCTTCACACCCAGAAACACGTGATCTGCAGCGGGAACTCTACCCCCGAGTTTCAGAGAACACAGGACCCCTCCTCCTTCATCAGCGCCCTCTGCCGTACGTACGGGTTAATAGTCAGAAAGTTCACAGTGACCTTTACATTGTCTTAACCGCAGGGTGAGGTTCACCATTACAGTGGTGAGCCACGGGGAACGAACGTTTATTAATAAACTCAGCGTAACATAACGCCTAAGGTATCAGATCATGCAGGTTTCTTTTAACTGATCTGATTTCGGCAACAGTGCATGTTATAAATAAACTTTTTGGGCCCGTTGCCAGGCGATAGGCTAAGTGACGTCACGCGCAAAGGGTTTATATCCAGGTATTATATATGCATTTTGGTTAGCCAACGACATGCGTTGTGCAACCAAGCGTTCGTAAAAACCGCCCACGACAATGACAAATATCAACCACACAAAGTTGCTTCCTCTACACATGCAGTCTGCACAAATCATAAAGACTTTCAAACATTTTGTTCAACAAACCCCAGGTTTTATTTTTCTTAATTACAGTACATCACAGAGAGGCACGTTTATAAATATACTGTATCTCCGGACCCCATGGCCTAAGCCAATAGTCGCTTATTTCCAGTCTTGTATTATATAAACATATTTATAGTGGATAAATATATCTTCACTTCTGCGTATATTACTTTGAACCAGCAATAAAGGCACATTACATGTTTCTCAAATTTTACAAATTTCTTCGCCTCAGTACAAACTGAAAAGTTTAAAGAAGGACAACGTGATAAATAAACCGTGACAAAAAATGGTAACAAAAAGTAAATAAATTAACGTAAATATAAATCCTTAACTGACAAGAAACATTATTTAAATAATCACAGAAAAGCAAAACCCATTTTACAAAAATTTGGCTCACTCTAAGGCATTTTTTAGTGACAGGACAAAAATAATTACTGCCAAATTAACATCTGGTACAAAATCAAACATTTATAATTATTTAGCTGACGCTATATACGTATCATGTGCATTTTCAAGGCGACTCCGGCATATAATTTGCACTTGGTTAAGATTTATTTTACAAGAGTGAGACCAGAAAATTAAACTTTTACTTCAAATGCTCCTCCAAACTATTCACAGCACAGCAAATTCCACACAATTCTGATAAACAAGCTGATAGAAAACACAGCAAAACCACAAAATAAACAAAAATTATAACCACAAAATAAACAAAAAGAAAAAAATTCTAGTATTCCTTTAATATATAGTTAAATATTCCAAACTTCTGAATAAACTCTTTTTGTCTGAAATTGGATCATTTTACCACAGTTTGATATAATTAATGTCATAGTATTAAATACGTCACTTAAAATTAACACTGGTCAAATGCAAAAAAATTAACAATATAATAATTTTAAACTTATCTCATACCATAAGCAAAAAATATTATAAATACCAACTGCATTTTGTGCAACTTGTAACACTAACACATCTAATATTCAACAGAACGGCCATGCCATAATGAGGTCTTCACAAAATATGTACACTTCTGTCACAATTAAAAATAATATTTAAAAAATACAGTCTCCACTTTTAGTGGTCATTCAATAACTATACACACCAATGGAGTCACCCAATTCAATTAGAATATTTTCATAGATCTTGAAAATCTGTTAATTATACATTGTGAAAAAATTAAATATTCCTCGTTTGATGTCTATAAATATAAATAATCTGTAATGGTCACAGAATTATCCTGATCTCTCAGGTCAGTCATTTACCATATAATAGCCCAGTTTATTTAACATCTCAGCTATGTAGGTACTACACCAAGGTACACTGTCACATTACAACTTTAGCCCCAAAATTGGTCTACAGTTTTAGATCAAAATTTTAGTCTTAACTGACCCAAGAGAACAATGAAATGAAACAGTGTGTCCATTTTATAACAAGACAGACATGGCCACCATTCCAGACTAATACTTACTAAACCTATGTGAACTACAATGGATAAGTGTTCACATTATGCAGAACAAAATTTTGACCTAAAGTTATGATCAATTTTCTGGCAAAAGTTCTTCTTTTTCAAAACAGACCCTACAGCTGCCACAGTTATATTTCCCATAAGAATTTCATCACGACTTGTTATTCTGTTCATAAACTTTATGTGTGGCCAGTTTCATATATAGTAATGCAACAAACCTGACCACATAATTTCAGTCCAAACCAAGTGTCAAGAGATGGTGCAGTCCAGTTGATGTACCTAATATCAGAGGATGAGCGGCCATGCTGCTCTGGGAGGACGGTCCCAAACCACTGCATGTTGACCACACGGACACACTTCATACAGCATCATAGCCAAATCAAAGTCTACGAAGGCTTTCCAACTCCGCTCCAACTTCTCCTTGTTAATGTAAAGCAGGTCCCGGCAGCTTTCGCGCAGGAGGTGATAAAGGCATGGAAACGTGTTGACTTCAACCAGAGGTCCCTCCCAGTGCTTGCGACTGACTTCAAAGTATTTCAGCTGCGGCAGATCAATTTTCTTCAGAAAGAACCCCTGGGAATTGGCAATATCTAATCGCTGAAGCCTGGGGTGAGAGATCTCGTAGACAGTTCGAGAGTGAAAAATTGGCATGAAAATCTCCAAGGTTAGATCCTGCAGATGGGGCATACTGCTACATACGGTGTGTAGCTGGGACTGCTCAACCATCCGAAAGATTACATATTTCCGTAAGGCCAGTGTCTCTAGTTGGGTCAACCTGGCCAAGCAGCTAACTGACCAGTGGGCCCAGTCAAATGGAATGTCCAAGTGCCGCAAGTTTGGAGCGCGGAGGGTCAGTAGTCCGAATATATGACCAAAAGGATGCATGCGGAACAGGTGTTGGTGGACCTGCAGTCTGACCTTGTTGAAGAGACAGCAGAATTTGTCCAGAAACTGAGGGCGGGATGGCGTGTGTGTCCAGTCCAGGTGGACAGTGGTCAGTTCACGACAATTGGCAGCGGTCAGCAGGCGCACCAGCACCACACACCAAGGCTCGTCCTCATTCGCAATGTCGAAATTGAAATTCAGTTGTTTTATCGCAGGTTTCACCTCGTTGAGAAACTTAGCGAAATTACAGATGTCTCTGACATACTTTGTGAAACGGTCTCCTATCCTACAAGTCCTGCTACATCTGACTTTGTCGCGTTTGTGTTCACAGATATAAAACTGGGCAAAATCCAGCCTTCCCCACAAGCTGGGAGACTTTATGAGTTGATGCCAGTCTCTGCACACTGCCATGGCCCTCGCACGATCAAATATACTTAAATGAGAGAAGATTTTCATCTGACATTCTACTGGGAGGAAATTAAAGGGAAATTTGAAGTTCTTGGCATAAATTCTTGGTGATCGTCTCTTATCTTCATCAGAGATAAGCCTCCTTAGCTCACGTCTTCTTTTGATCTTCTCTCTTCTTTTTCCGCACTCATCACACCAAACATTCTTCCTTTTGGGGGTGGATACCTCTGTCACCTTATTTTCTGAACATTTCCTTTTTCTTTGTGAAGTCCTTTTTGTAATAGTCACTTTGTCAAAGTTCACCTGACGAGAAACTTTTTTAATCTGTGACCTTGTTATTGGTCCGATGTGCGTGGGGGTTTCAGTTTCATTGATTGTGGCAGACTTTGGAGTTGTCACATTTTCCTGAGATAACCTACTACTGCGTCTCCTGGACCCTCCCTCATTCCCAGATAATAAAGACTGCGACCTAGTTCTTACATTATTAATGGGTTTCAGAGCAACAACAGGCAAAGCAAGTGATGAGGATATTTCCCTGTTTTCCACCTTACAAGAGGAGTTGGTAGTATCTGTATCAGTAGCTTTGGAACGCAGATTCTTTCCTTCTGTATTTCCCCCTTCTTTCAATTCATTATTGGAGTCATCCTCTGCATTTCCCTGAGAGGCAGAGGCACTTTCTGAGTATTCTACATTTGTTCCATGTTCTTCAATATTTGAGGCACAGTCACTGTTTGCATCATCAACACACGGTCCTGATGCTGTACGCTTACGTGCAGTACGGCTTTTTTTCTCCAAGACAGAAGCTCTTTTGTTTCTTGGCTCTTTCCTAGGAGGCATGGTGATTCAAAAGTAAATCAATACTCTCCGATATTGTGCTGGTGTTGAAGTTGATCTTTTCACAATCAAGTCACCATGTTCAAAAATTATCAGAAATATGCCCCACTTCAAGAAAGCTGAACTTCTTCTGGTTCACTTGAAAATACTACAAGCATACTTCAGAACCATCTCAAACTCCTGAAATAAATAACACAATGTTAATAATTTAAACAACCTACTGTATACCCCCCACAAAAAAAAAAAATAAAATAAAATAAATAAATGAATAAAATAAAAATAAAAAAATAAAAAAGTAAGTGTCATATTGAAAGAAATCTTCGACCTCACATATCTGGAAATGAAACAAATTATTCAGTAGTGGTATAAATAATTTTTATATTTTAAATACTGCTTTAATTCTTTTGTTAACCGTTAAGAAAGGAAGCCTACATTGCTGTTTACTTGCAAGTTATGAAACGCCTAAATCTAAACTATTAATATAATGTTGCACTATGAAATACATGAAGCGTCCAAGCTTGTGTCCATTGTTCCGTGCGTTCCTGTACTTTTTGGACAGGGAATTTATCGGTCGTGCGCGTGACACAATGATAAAGCGATAGACTTCGAAACCAAACAAACGCAGTCGCCCATTTTGACTGCACACGACACTGTACATATTGCAAGGAAGAACTACCCAAGCTACTTTGTACCGAAACAATGAACAATTTAACCTAAATCATAGTGAGCATACAAATTAGGTGTCTTACGTGTTTATGCTGTCAACTCGCGCCCAGAGAGCTTGCCTTCATAAAATATTTCTACTGCGAAGTTGGTTGTTGATCTAGCGCCTTCTCACCCCTTAGATCTAACTTCTGACATCAGTCGTGGTAACGAAGCTGAAATCTCATATCTTCAAATGACATCTATTGTTTTAAGCCAGAACACTTCTTAGTTAACATTAAGTTGATTTTATATATGCAATAGAATACTACTTCTGATAAAGGAGTATGTTTTGAGTCGTTCTGTTGAAGGCCATATTGCGACAGCCGTAGAGCAGTACGTGGCAACTCCAGCTGGAAGAAGAGCGATAATGCAAGTAAAGGAAATATGTCTCGCTGGAGTAGTGAATATGTTGTGGCGGAGTACAGAGATCTCCAGGTGAGCTAATGTCTAGGTCGTTTGCTGCATTACCTGCTCCCCCTACTCTGACTAGCTGGATAAGTTTTGTGGTTATTTGAGTCGTAACTTACACAGTCATTTGTGTTGACCAGTCCGCAGAGTTCGCTGTCATAGTCAAGGACACTTTTAGCAGTCAAACAAAATATAATTTCAACAGATAATTCAACTGTGCAGCTCAATCACATATTTGTAATGAAATCTTATTTCAGTCGTTAGGTAACTATTGATAAGTTTTTTTTAATATATAAGCTCTTCAGTTTCAAAGCACAAATTTTAAAAATCAATCCTCCCCTTCCTGTTTCTGACTTCATCAAGTTCAACTTCGCTGTTGACTGCTCTCTTACCTTTGATGACACTGCTTAGTCTGTTATATCAAAATCTTATGATAACAATTTTGTGACCAGTTCATTTCCTATTTCTCTATGATATCATTTTTACCTTTCAGGCCAACTGTATGGCTGTGGACTGTCTTGGAGAGCATGCAGTACTGGCAGGGCAAGTACTCTGAGGATTTTACTCAAAAATGCTGCGCACATTCTTTTTTCAAGTGTAAAATATGTTCATCGGTATAACAACCTTGGCCTTTATCAGTCTTAATTGATGTACTCCTGGAAAATTGTTGAGCAATATACTAGTAAACATATTTTGAGTCATAAGTTTTAAAAACACTTGAAAGTCAAATATTTTGGTTGATAACAGTAAAATAATTTTAGTGCAATTTTTTTTTTTTTTTTTTTGGTCTTTAGAGGAAAATGAAAAATGAAGCTCCAATATGAGGGAATGAATAAAACTATATGCACTTGTTTTTATAACAGCATGTGTTTCAAAACAATATTTCATTTCATGTTTCTATGTTCCAAAACATGCTAGAAAACACCCCAAACAATCACCCTCTTAAGTCCTATGTTCTGGTTCCAGGCGGCGTGTGCTAGCCATTGTCCCCTTAGACAGACCCAAAGACAGCATCAAGAAGGTGAACAGGCAGAGTAAGTGGGAAGTCAGCGCGGTCCAGTGGAACCCACACCCCTCTCACGCTCAGATACTGGTCACTGCAGTAAGTTGGAAACTAGAAATAGTCACCTGTAATTGGCTGTCTAAATTTGTCCAAAACTTTGTAGCCATACACCTGAAGAATTTTAGACCAATTCAGACAGCTGAGTAATTTGCCACTGCAGTAAGTGGGAAACAGCTTTACTGTAGCTTATTAATAACTAGCTGCTGTTTTAATTTGTCTAAGATTTTGTAGCCAAATCCTGAATATGTTTAAACCAATTAGCTAAGTAGATTGCCACTGTGGTGAAGAGGAAACTGAGGTCACTTTCTGTCTTACTTAGCTGTCTTCCTTCATCTTGAAATTATCTAGAGATTTTACAAAATATTGTGTCCTAAAAAGACACTGGAAAGAAAGAAAAAAAATGCGAGATAATCATGTTCTTAATTCTCAGTGAAAAAGTAAAACCTGTCTTGTCACAGGTTAGAGTGCCATCTATAGGTCATGGTCACAAACTACTTCCAACTGAGAACTGATAATAAATTTTTTCAAGTCTAAGATACTTGATAGTAGACTTTAATTGGAGTTTATTTGAATTTTAGTACAAGACCAAAGTATGTATTAGTAATAACTTTATAAATATCATTGACATTGCTATTAATGTAATATATATATCCTCAAATATTTTATGTGTTCAAGTCTTACAATGTTGTCATTATTGAGACCAGAAATAGATTCAGAGGTTTGCCTCTGCACATAAATGTATTTGATAGTACCGCTATGTTATCCATCAGTTATTGTATCATTCCAGACTAACCAAAGAGTAGATCTTGTAGCCTGGATAGATGGTAAAGGAGTACAGCAGGGTTCACTGAAGGCGCATACTAGAGTTATCAGGTAATGTTTTGTATTTTCTATTGGGCACTTTGTTTGACATCTTAGGTCCTAAAGAACAGACGCAAAAGGGACCCTCTCATAAATGGTTAAGTTTTTGACTTACATGAACAAATAAAGTGAATTAGTAAGGACAGCTTTATGATATTGATCATAGAGTCTTGTACAAACAGTAAATGGTGCAGACATCCTGAAGTTGCCAGTTATCAAGATAATCACAGTATGTTCAAGTCTAGTGAAGCAGCCTGTCAGTGTGTTATGTTGTTGAGAAATTGCATTTAACCAAATAAATGTTATATTTTTATCTCCACAGTGATTTAGACTGGTCCCCCATTGAGGCCAGCTCTCTGGCCACCTGTTCTGTGGACACCTACACCTTCCTGTGGGACATCAAGTAAGTGGACAGGCCATAATTGGCCAGCATTCACAAGGATGAAGTTTATCCAACTATCAGCAGAATTCTGACTTTTTGGGAGTCAAAAATATCATTGAGTTAAGCAACCTCCATGACCTCACACCATATTTTCCAACTTATTCACTAAATGGCAGTCTCATCCCTGCATTTATTAGCTTATTTATGTAGATGCTGATTATGATTATAATTATAACATATATGGTCAAAATTAAATTTTTATTTACTATATTTATAAGTCTTCTATAAGTGTGATAAAATTTCAGTACATGCACTTTGATTTGGCTTACATTTAAACAAAATCCTTTATTTTGTCAGATATCACCTGGTAATGTATGTTAATTATGATAAAAACATTAAGCTTAGTGTCACAAAACCAGTTTTATCTCAACTCTTACACTCTACTGAATTCTGTACTCTCTGTTTATTTCTGTACTCTGTACTCTGGTAGTGTCTGGTGTTATATAATTCTATAATCTGTATATCCCCTCAGTGACCAGAGACTTCCCATCAAGTCCCTGCAGGCAGTGTCTGGTGTTATATTATTGTATACTCTGTATATCCCCTCAGTGACCAGAGACTTCCCATCAAGTCCCTGCAGGCAGTGTCTGATGTTATATAATTCTATACTCTGTATATCCCCTCAGTGACCAGAGAGGTCCCATCAAGTCCCTGCAGGCAGTGTCTGGTGTTATATAATTCTATACTCTGTATATCCCCTCAGTGACCAGAGACGTCCCATCAAGTCCCTGCAGGCAGTGTCTGGTGTTATATAATTCTATACTCTGTATATCCCCTCAGTGACCAGAGACGTCCCATCAAGTCCCTGCAGGCAGTGTCTGGTGTTATATAATTCTATACTCTGTATATCCCCTCAGTGACCAGAGACGTCCCATCAAGTCCCTGCAGGCAGTGTCTGGTGTTATATAATTCTATACTCTGTATATCCCCTCAGTGACCAGAGACGTCCCATCAAGTCCCTGCAGGCAGTGTCTGGTGTTATATAATTCTATACTCTGTATATCCCCTCAGTGACCAGAGACGTCCCATCAAGTCCCTGCAGGCAGTGTCTGGTGTTATATAATTCTATACTCTGTATATCCCCTCAGTGACCAGAGACGTCCCATCAAGTCCCTGCAGGCAGTGTCTGGTGTTATATAATTCTATACTCTGTATATCCCCTCAGTGACCAGAGACGTCCCATCAAGTCCCTGCAGGCAGTGTCTGGTGTTATATAATTCTATACTCTGTATATCCCCTCAGTGACCAGAGACGTCCCATCAAGTCCCTGCAGGCAGTGTCTGGTGTTATATAATTCTATACTCTGTATATCCCCTCAGTGACCAGAGACGTCCCATCAAGTCCCTGCAGGCAGTGTCTGGTGTTATATAATTCTATACTCTGTATATCCCCTCAGTGACCAGAGACGTCCCATCAAGTCCCTGCAGGCAGTGTCTGGTGTTATATAATTCTATACTCTGTATATCCCCTCAGTGACCAGAGACGTCCCATCAAGTCCCTGCAGGCAGTGTCTGGTGTTATATAATTCTATACTCTGTATATCCCCTCAGTGACCAGAGACGTCCCATCAAGTCCCTGCAGGCAGTGTCTGGTGTTATATAATTCTATACTCTGTATATCCCCTCAGTGACCAGAGACGTCCCATCAAGTCCCTGCAGGCAGTGTCTGGTGTTATATAATTCTATACTCTGTATATCCCCTCAGTGACCAGAGACGTCCCATCAAGTCCCTGCAGGCAGTGTCTGGTGCTAACCAGGTGAAGTGGAATAAAGTCAACGAGCACCTGCTGGCCACCGCACACGATGGAGACATCAGACTCTGGGATACCAGGGTAAGTTTTTTATTTTCATTATCATTTTTTATTACATTTGAATGTTTTTACTTGTTGAATATGAGATATTTGAAAATAATTTTGAGTAATTAATAATTTATTTATGCATTCATCATTATTATTATTATTATTATTTCTCTAGGACTCTAAGGGTTCTCCAGTTCAGTATATAGCAGGACATCTACAGAAGATCCATGGTGTAGACTGGAGTCCCAGCAGTGAGCATCATCTGGCCACTTCTAGCCAGGACAGCACTGTGAAGGTGAGACAACCTGGAGGGGTTTATAATGTGAATTGTACATATCTGATTTCCACTCATCTGTTTGTATGTAATGTCTCAGTGAAGACCAGATCATGGTTGTGTTGCACTGCACTTTGGGAGGTAGGAGGGTGCTCAGCATGTGGTCAATCCAACTTGATAGTAAACATATTCTAATTGAACTGAAGAAAATATATAGCAGCTGTTTTATTTTAATTTCCTTATTTAAATTTTAATTTCCCAATTTTAATGCAATATCGATTTTCCAAAAATCAATCAGTAATTTGGCTGAAATAGAATAACCCCAGGCCCCAGTTTCACATATTAGTCATTTCCAGTGGCTAACATCTCTGTTATCAACGTTACATAGTCACATGCACACATCTTATCCTATCAGGAAGAGTGTTACAGCACTCTCATGGACATCCTAGTCAACTAAGCCAGGGCACTGTTTAAAGTATTTTTGTGTGAAACTATGGTCTTAAGAATTTGTTTCATTACTGTGACATAAACAGTGTTTTGTCCTTGCAGTTCTGGGATGTAAGGAACCCCAAGAAGACTGAGGCTGTCATGGCATCTGGAGCTCCTGTGTGGAGGGCCAGATATGCTGTGAGTTCATTTTTTTAATTTATTTATTCACTCATACATCCATTCATCAATATTTTATATTTTTCATTCTTATATATTTGTTCTTTCAACATTGATTCTCAACATTAGAGTCACACATGTTATGGTAATTAGATACAGTGAAAAACCTGTTTGTATCCTAGATCTTTTCAATTTGTGAAAATTGTGAATCTTACAAATATTCTTTTTTTATAAGCGGCTTTAGGCCGTCTTCTGGGTCTTCCAGAAGACTTATATTTTCAAGTTTACATTGACGGGTATCTAATTTTTTTCTGTCGAAAGACGGTCAAAAATGGAGAATGGATCAATAAAGATAATTTGGAAGACTGTCAGAAAATATCTCTGGATCTGCCCCCGATAAGTCATAACTCCATGGGGATTCATGCTTAATTGATATCAATTTATGCGGCTGTCATGCCTACCGTATCTGCTAGGGGGTAATTAACTTTCGTGCACGCTCAGCCTCCGGTAGTTAATTACCCCATAACCGCATGACAGACATAAAAGGCATGACAAACATTTAAGCCACTTAAGTTCATAGCAATTCAGAAAGAATTCCCTAGGAGATAGATTGATCCAAAGTTAGTACGACAGTCTCTGGTAACAGTCTCTAAGTCATATGTATAGGTTTATATTAATATTATATATTCCAGCCATTTGGTACTGGCATGGTGACAGTAGTGGTGCCCCAGCTGAGGAGAGGAGAGAACAGCCTTCTGCTGTGGAATATCCGTGACCTGAAACAACCTGTCCACACCTTTGTGGGCCATACGGACGTAGTGCTGGAGTTCCAGTGGAGGAAACACACTGAAGGTGGCAGCACTTGTGCAATTATATATTTGTTCAGATGTTTTACATAAGTTTGGGGGGAGGGGGGGTGCCTGCAATTTTATGAGAGCAAGCACTCAAATGTAGAACAGATGGGAATTTCCAACATATAAACTTTTCAATTCTGATTTAACTGTATCTTGCAAGATGTTTAAAGGCATGCAAAGCTTGCTGAACTTTCATATTCAATTTTGCTGAAAATTTCAGTTATTTTCCTAAATCACCATGTTATACCATGTCATACCATAAACCAATGAAAAATTCTGCTGCTTTGCTGTATTTAAAGGTCTAACCCCTCAAAGATTGTGTTTCAATGTTAACAATTGAGTTTTTTAGTGTAATAGGAAGCCTCACTGTAACAGCCTGGCCAGTGTCACAAGTTTCTGATTTATTGTCATTACCACCAATGAACTCGTTTTATAGTAAAAAAGATATCATATTTACATCACTCATATACATTTTGCATTGATGGTCATTATTGATAATTCCAGACGAGCGAGGTGATTACCAACTCGTAACATGGTCCAGAGATCAAAGTCTTAGAATATGGACAATAGAAAGTCATCTACAGAAGGTATGAAATTAGAGTTGATGATTTATTTGATCTTCAACCATATTTGCAATGTATTAAAATAATTATATTTTATGTTATTACAGAAATAAGTATATAACTAAGTCGGTGCTTTGGCCATGTGTTCTGGTAGAAAGACATGATATTTCATCTCATACATGCCTAAAAGATAAAAGTTTGTTATTACTTGTGAATAAGTAATGGATATATGTTGGTTATTTACATTTTTCCTTTGACATTTAATTTCGATTTTGAAAATAATAAAGGTGAAATAAATTAATTTCAGCTTTGCGGTCACCACACTCAGTCAGATTCCTCTGCTAAAGATTCCGAGAGCATCATCAATGGAACCACAGAAGACAAAGTTGTAGATGGACAAGATGCCCTGGAAATTATGGACAATCATTTTGGCAGTGGCAAAGATGAGGATACAGATGGAGGAACAAAAGTTGATGTGAAGAAAAAGTTTGAGGTTGAACCGGTGAATGAAAGTATATTGGCAGACGCCATCACTCCGCAACAGCCACGAACACTTCAACAGGAGTTTTCATTGGTTAATGTGCATATACCTAATGTAACTGTAGAGGAGGTAGGTAGATTTGAAAACCTACATTATGCCGAGCAAAATCAGTATTGGTTTTAATTCTGGAACTTTCAGGAAGAAAAAATTGCAACATTTGAAGACTACTAATATCCAACCTTGATAGAGGATAGAAAATTTTCACATAATGTTAAAGATAATTCAACTTGGTTAAAAGAGAACGCTTCAAATTTAGTTATTTAAAATGGTTAATGTCTTACTAGATGAATGCTGAGAGAAGAATCTGTACCTTCTCTGCGGTTAGTGGTAAACACATGGTGCGCCTGCTGATGACATTCCCACTGATGTATCCCAGTAATGTGGCACCTGCCTTTCTGTTTGAGGATCCAACCACTATAGACCAGGACGCACAGAACAAACTGATTAAGGTAGGAGGGGGTCTCTTAACACACCTTATGTCTGATAAAGTAAAACTTTTTACATACTTGTAAGAAAAGAGAATAGAAAACACTTGACTTTCTTCCCTGGAAAATGTATTAATTTTAAATATTAAGTACCATAATTAGAGTGGGATAGCACAGAGTGGGATAGCACAGTTGAGAAAAAATCATTCATTCTTTTCTATTCTTTTTTATTACAAGTATGTAAAAAGGTTTAAATCACTTAACTTAAAGATACATATCAAGTCAACTTTTTGCCACAAAAGGCATTGTTTAATTTTACCTGAAAATGATGTTTGAACAGATTTTCTGCTAGCATTCTATGCTGTATGTCAATGGGGCAGAAAAGTAGGTCATGAAAGTAGGGTAAAATTTTTGACCAAAAATTTAAAGAAAGGAGCAGTCTTAATCTCTTACAGCTGATTGAGTGATCTATTCAGTTTATCCCTTCGCATGTCAAATCTATTTGAGTCATATAAGAAACTAGTAGAAGTGGTTTATATGTGTTACTGGGAATCCACACTCCACCGATGCTCGGTTCGTATGTGTCTTTAAAATACTGCTAGCTTTCTGCTATAAGTGCAGTAGCAATAAGATTGTCTAGTATTGTTAAAATTATTCCTTCAAATGCAGATGATTTTTCAGGAAATTTAGGGTGTGAACCTGTAGAATTTTATATAACCTCTGTTTGAGGGGCACAGGGGGAGTTGGCTGACATTAATGTGTAGGAGGTCAATGACTCTTATTAGAAGTTGATTTAAGAGACTGTCATAAGTATTAAGTGAGCATTTTACTTTTCAGATCCTGGATCAAACTTCTATACAGCATGTGAAGCATAATAGATCATGTATAGAACCATGCCTAAGACAGCTGATACAAAGTTTAGACAACCTCACTGTAAGTACTAAACTATACTGTAGAGGTAGACTTCACTTCATTATAATGTATTCTTATAAAAAAATTCTTTTAGTCAGAATCCACTGGTCACCAATTATTTTATTATTTTTGTGTTAATGTGTGTTAATGTCTGGATGTGTTATAATCTTGCTATATACCTATTTCAGTTTGTTGATCNTGAAACTGTAATCTTATTGAAGGGGTGGATTGAGACCATCTTCTGGGTCTTCTTGAAGACAGGTTATTAAGTTTATATTGACTGGTATCTAGTTTTTTCTGTTGGAAGACCATCAAAATGGAGGATGGATCAACATAGATACTTTGGAATACTGTCAGAAAATATCTCAGGGTCCGCTCCTGTTATTGACCATGTTACCTGTTGTGCATGATTAAAATTCAGTGTTGACTGACAGTGCTATTATGAGCATTATTTATTATTGCATCAAAATTGACAAAATGACCTTTTTTTGCATCTTTATTTTCTGTTTTTTGCCTGTACATTTGACAGCTTTGCTGCCTTGTTCAGGATATTTAGGATGTGAACCTGTAGAATTTTATATAACCTCTGTTTGAGGGGCACGGGGGCAGTTGACAGACATCAAAGTGTAGAAGGTCAATAACTCTTATTAGAAGTTGGTATAAGAGACTGTCATAAGTATTAAGTGAGCATTTTACTTTTCAGATCCTGGATCAAACTTCTATACAGCATGTGAAGCATAATAGATCATGTATAGAACCATGCCTAAGACAGCTGATACAAAGTTTAGACAACCTCACTGTAAGTACTAAACTATACTGTAGAGGTAGACTTCACTTCATTATAATGTATTCTTATAAAAAAATTCTTTTAGTCAGAATCCACTGGTCACCAATTATTTTATTATTTTTGTGTTAATGTGTGTTAATGTCTGGATGTGTTATAATCTTGCTGTATACCTATTTCAGTTTGTTGACCGCACCACCCCAGACACTGACATGCCGTACAATCTGCAGCAGCCTCCACGACCAATGAAGTTTCTTCCCATCTATTCCTACGGCAGCCTGCAGGATGCCAATATTCCTTTCCCAAGAACTTCTGGTGCTAGATTCTGTGGAACTGGTGAGTAATTTACTTACAGTATGCTTTGATTCATGATATTCAAGATCAGCCAGTGTTAAAAAATTTCACTTTTGCTTCTCTGATAATGAAAACTGTTAAATATAGATTATAAAAGATTCTCAAGATTTAGAAGAAAAATCATTTGCAAAAATTATTCATTCCATTCCATTCCATTCTCAGTTCATAGGGTTTAGTTTGGTGGACTTTGGTGAACTCTAGTGAATTTGATATTTTGGAGTCGTAAAATTGTTAGAAATGAATTTTTTTATCATGTCTCTATCTCAGATCACCTAGTCTGCTTTGTCCGCCCCTCTCACATGCACCGACAGAGGACCAGTGAAATAACCCCCAGGTGAGTGGGTGGGTGAAGGTAAACCTTTAGTATGAGCACAAAATTTTCATAGAAGTCTTTATTTTCTTCATATTTTATCATTTTTAAGCACAGATAATAATGTATTTTTACATTCTGTCATCACCTCCATATGCTTCTTTACAATTTCTACTACTCTGGTAGAATTTTCTGTCATGTATTTCATGTCAATATTTTACTAAATAAATCCCCGTTTTAGGGTTATAAAAGATATGAAATGAATCTATTTCTTCATTCAGAGCCCTGTCTGCCCTGTCTGCGTACGCCCTGCCCACACAGACAGTGAGGACACCTCAGAGCAACCCATCATTTAACATGATGTTTGGTCTGGCCAGGTCTCCCCCCACAGACAACAGTGTGTCCATCAGTAGTTATTATACCAATAAAGACCACAGGGTAAGTGATGTAGACTGCAGGGTGGGTGATATCGACCACAGGGTGAGTGATATAGACTTTTTGAGTGAGCGAGTGAGTGATATAGACTTCAGGGTGAGTGATATAGACTTTAGAGTGATCGAGTGATGTAGACTGCAGGCCTAAGGTAAGCGATATAGACTACATGGTCATTTATAAAGACTGTAGGGTGAGTAATAAGGACTTTGAGGTAATTATTAATCAACAGGTAGTTGATTGTATTAATAAATTAATAAAACCAATCAATTCAGGATAAAAATATAAATAATTGAATATATTATAAGTTTTAAGATATTGGTCTGTTTGTAAATAAAGACCTGGCTGAAATTAACAATAACTGTTGTGTCTTCATTTTTAAACCAGAGATCTAATATTTGTATTTGTCATTACAGAAGAAGCGTGCCCGCAGTAAGTCCCGCCTCACGGAGCAGGGGGACAGCAAGCGTGACCAGAATTCTAATATTGTTATTTGTCATTACAGAAGAAGCGTGCCCGCAGTAAATCACGCCTCACAGAGCAGGGGGACAGCAAGCGTGACCAGAAGGCCAGGGTACCAGGATCACCTCAGAAGAAACAAAAAGATAAAAGCTCAGAGCCTGTGATGATCTATAACATCTCTTCTCTCTTGCCTATCCACAGACAGCTGGCTGAGAATTATGTGTAAGTGGTTTCTCTTACAAAGGTCCAGGTGACTCATTTGATGTCAGGTAGTAGCACTGAAAGACAAGTTTGTTTTGTGCAGATACATAGAATGAATACCTTTGCTTGAGGACTGCTTCATCCATCATATCTGCTGATTTGATCATCCAGAATCTGGTGGCATGATGTGATAATTACTGGGACCTGTGTACTGCTTTATGGATCAGTACAAAATAATAATTTCTTTCATTATTTTGCTTTTCCCACATTTTTTAGTTTATGAAGCAATAAATATGGTAAATCTGTCAGTTCTTCTGGCAAAGGTCAACAAAACTCCTCCAGGACAGGTGTGACCAAGATCAGAACTCTCTCACTGACTGGCAACAGATATGATTGATGTTAAAGAACAAGCAGTTCTCGATTTAAGTCTCTAACCCTGATGTGTATTGTCATGTTCTAGGTTAGACACAGAAGACATATGTAATATGTGCAATAAAAATGCTGCTGCAGCTGCTGCGGTGGGAAGGAGAGACCTTGTGCAGGTAAATATAATTTCTGATAAATACATTTAGATCCTAAAAAGTGTGGAAGTCCTAAAAAGTGTGGAAGATCTAATTAATTTCAGTCTTTTTGTTTTTTTAAAAGAAATTGTATTTTTTTATTAACAGACAAGAAATATTTATTCTTGTATTTGTTTGCTTTGGAGAAAGATACTGTTGTTTAAAGATATTTCTATGTCATTTGTAATTATAAACAATTATTTTAGAAAAAGTGTGATTCAGTTACATTTTAAGCACTATTTATTTATTTATTTATTTATTTATTTATTTATTTATTTATTTATTTCAGATGTGGCAGCTGGTCTCCCTGGTCTCTAGTTCCAGTTTGGTTCCCAACCAGAACCCAGATTCTGAGCCCCCCTGGGCAGTCAGTCCATTTGGGGGTCAGCTCATAGACTCTTTGTAAGTGACCAGTGTCTGGCTGGCAGGACTTCTGTCCATGTTCTTAAAGAATTGTATTTTTGTAGATTATTCACAGATGAACAAATTCAAACTGATCTTGCAAACTTCTAACATCTTAGATTTTCAGTGTTGTTATTCCGAAGGAAACGCCTGTTTGATGTGTGAGAGAGAGCAGTGTGTGTATGCGCGCGCACAAGAGAGAGAATATAATGTTTGCATTTGACCAAGTATGTAAAACAAACTAGTTTTATTTTGTATTTCTTCTACACCATTGAAGAACTGTGCTTTTTGTTGTCTTTTTTAAATATCTTGGTAATTGTGTTTCAAGGACTTGTTTTTTAGGTTAAGTCTACTGAATATTTTTTAATGGATTTTAGACTTAAACGTATTATTATTATTATTATCTCCTGTCTCCAGGATAGACCACTACAGCTCTCTGTGTGATGTGCAGACCCTGGCCATGTTGTGCTGTGCATTTGGCCCCAAGGAGGACGCTCAGCAAGTTGTCAATCTAGCCTCAGCACTGAATAGAATACAGAGGTCCACCTCAGACATCTCTTGTGCCAATGTAAGTGAAGAAATATTGTTTTATCTTCTGTTTATGGTACAGCAATAATATTTGTTACAATATACGTACAGTATTACAAAATCGTTATATTTGAGCCTTGTTTCTCAGTTCTCTTATTAAAAATTCTTGTTTGTATTTAAAATTGAATTTTTAAAAGTCATCACTATACTTTTTAGATTATGATTATATACAGTGTTGTTCGCTGTATATAGATATATTTCACTAAATATTTAATTTTAGTTTAGTTTAACAAGTTATTCATAAAAACACTTATTTATAAAAAGAGTAGACTGATTTTTAAGACCTAAAAAGATATACCTTATATGGTATCAAATATCTTTAACTTGCTTTTTGACACACCCACAGTGAATATATTTATATACCAAACTGCCATTAGTGTTTTATGTGATCATATATTTTATGAAAAATCCATTATTGGGTTACGTATGTTTGGGCCGCTTGTGTTTGAAGTCGTATTTCCCATTAAACCTACACTCTCTCTCAACCCAGTGATAAAGGACTTCCTTAACCCATCTCAATAAAATTTTTCCTGGGTAAATTACTTTCATTACTTTTGAGAAACTGTTGGTTCTAATCAGATCATGCATATTTTGACAATAGATATTAAGAATGAATTGTTTCTAAAGATACTTGGTTTTTACCTATAAATCAGTTTATCCCTATTTAGAAACAATTTATTCTTTAAGCATCAATACACAAGATTTCTTTTTTTTTTTTTTCTTTTTTGAGGGGGTGGGGGAGAGGGATAACTCAAAGATAGTTGCATGTTTCTCTTGCAATTATGCATAGTAATGATACTTCAGGTTTAAAACTTTATTGAAGGTTGATGATGTTATTGAAGTGGTTGATGAAGAAGATGTAATGTTTGTAAGCATTTCAGAATTTTATATGCACTTTGCTTTCATAAAATCTCAGTTAGTTTGTGCACAGTACTATGATATTGTTCTTCCAAATTTCTTGTTAATGCAGATTCTTGGCTAACACGTTTCTATGATTCTTTACAGTGGTCTTCACAAATTGTCATTTAAAAAATATATAAATCACAAGATGTGAAAGACACATGCACTGCTAAAATGTGAATTGTTCTCAAAGGAACTAAATTTTTTATGTGGGAGACATGATGTTTTGGCTCTTAATCATATATCTCACTTAAAGGGATAATAACTCTTCGCATGAGATCTATATTTCACAAATAAAACATTTTGAATAACTCATACAAATATAATATATTCTGTTTTACCACAAAAACGGCAGTTATAGCTATTATTCTGATATCTGAGCTTGTCTTCAGACCATGTGACCTCCATCGATGTCTATACTCTGTTATAATCTCTTAAGAGATTTTAACAAAAAACCAAACTTTACAGAAAAAAAACAGGGACTAACTTCGAATGTAAAAATGGATTCAATAACCATTGGTAAGTATGGGAAAATTGTTGTTTACTCCAGGAAAATTCATTTTTTGGCCAAAACGAAGAGTTATTATCCCTTAAATGTCTCTTGAGAAATAATTTACTTTTGCCACCTTTAAACAAGAAAATGAATAACCTGTTTTAACAAAAAGGTTTTCAAAAAAATAACATGGCTATATATTTGCGTTGATATGTTAGTATTTCCTGCTAAATCAGTGTAAAAATCAATCACAATCTGATTGCATGGGAAATTTTCTTCATCTTTTGGCCTAATCCACCTTTGTAAAAAATAAAGATCTAAGTAGGATTGTTATTTCAATGATAAGGATAAAATGATAATCATTTGTGATTTACTCAAACCTGTGAAAAACTTGCTTTGCTTCCTTGGCCACTATCGCTTGCACTGGTTTCCCTACTGGACAAATCATTTTATACTTTTTTGCCACCTTTCCTTCAAAAATTTGATAGAAATGAAATATTTTGAAATTTGTCCAAAATGAAAATTTTGCTCTAAAGAGTAAGCTGAGAGTGACATATATATGATCTCACAGTTTAGAAGATACCTTTACTTCTCCTGTCTCAATGCTATACCCCATGCTTGTTAGTGGTGCCCAATTTTGGCCAGAAAGTCATTTACACAAGTCACCATTTAGACTGCTACATATTTGATTCTGCTTGTTGGAATGTTGATTGTATTAGATCCTGTTGTGAAGGGACAAGCAAGTGAACAAGCAATCAACTCTGACAAATTGCAATCAGTTACCCACAATCAAGGTTAGCTTGCTGGTCAGCAGGTGCTTTAGAATTATACTTTGGTCATTAAAACTCGATAGTGCTGACATCAACAGGCTGCATTTTAGAGTCCAAATGGTGACATGGATCATTACAAGTCAAATATCAGCCATTAATGATGTGAAAATGAAACAGTTAGATTTAGGGTTGTTTGAAAACTGATTGTCTTAATGATTTTATTGGATAGCTGGCACGGAGGCCCAGGAAGTCCTACTCCAAGGTGAATTCATTTATGATTTGGTACAATGTAATTCTCTGATTTTTAAAAGATTTGAAAATTGGTTTGGAATAAACTTTACAGTTTTTGCTAAGAATTAGTACGAAACTAACAGTTGATCAAAGCTGTTTGTAATTGAGAGATTTTTTTTTTTATTTTTTAAGGTATTCTTTTGACAATAACACAAAATATAAGAAATAATTTTTTTTTAAGGATTTTTTTTTTATTTTGAAGTAACCAGTTTCAATTTTAAATATGATATTTATTCCTATTAGTTTCTATCAATTTTCTGGCACTGTGAAAAATTATCATTTTCTAGCATATCAGCTTATTAAAGAATGGATATTAGATATAATTATTATTTAACACCAGTTGAAAATACGGTATTTAATACCACAAGCTATTGGTTTGAAATTACTTTCTTCTTGTTTTAAATAGTTATTGTATATGATCTAACTACCAAGCTAATGCACATTTTTGGATATTGTCTAACTTACATAATGTCTGAATAGATTTTATGTGTAGAATTATACAGTAACTGTTGCTTCATTTACTTTATACATTTACATTAACTAGTTCTGAGTTCAATAAGAAATGCCTAACATTTCACAAAAATCACGGTAATATAGAATGATACACACAACCCAGCGCTCACATTTCTTTATTATGATTCACAAGGTAATCCTGGAAAATGTAAACTTTTTAATAATTAAAATGTCTCTAATTCCTAAAAAAAGAAAAAAGTGCATTTAGAAAAATGGCAGACAAGTTGATAAATCACTGCATTTTCCAGGCAAATCCTGTTATTTCGCATTTTTCTTTTTGTTAGTCTTTTTTTCCTCCCACTTTTTTGTAGAATGAACTTGCAGACTTGCAGTCAGATTTCTCATATTCCCCTGTCCTCAATGGCTGGAGTAACATCAGTAAGTTTGCACCAAATGAACCATGGCACAAAATTGGAACCCAATAGGAAGAATAGAATCCTTTTGGCTAGTTTTCACTTCCATCCGTATTATTATTTTTTCCTTTATTTTTTATTTATTGCAGTTTTGGGGGGGGGGGATTACTTACTGCTATACCTAAAAATATACCAAAAGATAAGACTTGCGTGGGGAAAAAGTATAAGATGAATACAAATTAACATGGCACTGTCTGTTTTACACTAAGCATTTCATAAATTTTATCTGTATGTCTTAAAATGTTACACTGTAACCTTTCTATTGGGTCCATTTCTTGTGCCATGTCATTTCAACCTGAGGCAGCTCTAGAGCTGGTTCACTCACATGAGGTCATGGTATGCAAACAATTTGTTAATATTGTCATATGATGTTGAAAATGTATGATCCACAGATATTAATGCTATTGTTTTCAGGAAAACATACACAGAGTTTTTATTTCAGAAGTATTTGGCCCAGCTCCTGCATTTGAATGATGCGGCTTTCATTGCATGCTTCTTTTGTGTTTGCGCTGTTAAATGTAGCGCTAGGCAGATGGTTCTCTGATCTTTGGCGTGAAATTAGGCAGTTGCTTTTTGCCATCCCACCACTGCCGCCGTATGTAGTAACATTAGCACTGCCACCTGTGCTGCACATTAAAAGCATATTCCTGTCTGATGTGTTTGATATTTTGTGTTAAATTTATGAGGCAGATCTCAGAGCTGTTGCTTGCACTGTAAGTGAACCACTGAGTACTTTTATGTTTTTTTAATGAATGTATGTATCCCAGCTGAATATGTCTTAAATCAAATATCATCCGGGTTTCCCGCTTTTAATCTATGAGGTGATAATTAAGGTAACATTTATGGGAAAAAATTTTGACAGGGTCTGTATAAGTATCAAACAGTTAAGTAATAAAGTAGCAGAGATTGTGCAATTTGTGTGAAGTCTAATATGTAGGACAGCATGTTTCCAAGATAAAAGCAAACCATTCTTTACAGTTACTAAATAAACATTTATTTCAACTGTTTACCTTTTTATTGTTTAAAACTGCATTGTTTTTATGACTACATTTGTAAGAATAATGCTTTCCAACACCATTATGATAGCATTTAACTGCATTTTGAATCTATAACACAATCTAATATAATATTAAGATATTATGTTGAGTCCCTTTTCACATCAAAGCAGTACATATTTTCTTCAGTGCACCAGTTGAACTGATCCTAATACGTCACTACACTGAGAGGGGGGGGGGGTCCACAAGGACCAATGTGGTTTACTGGTCTTGATGAACCTGGAGGCTCCATTTGGGTAACTGTCTTACATAATAACCAGGCTTTTTGCTTGGAATCTCTCAGACTTGTGGGATACAGAAAAATGTACTGCACCATGCAAAAAGGGACCTTATATTATGTGTTCCTCAAGTTCTTAAATATTCTTATGGAAGCTCACCAACAATTAACAATCAAATGACATTGGTTTGGTGCTACTCAGTGATATCAGTTCACAGTTATATGTGAAGGCATCTTTGTGGACTTTGAAATACTGGAGTGCTGTTAGCTTTAACAGTTAAGCTGTTGTTTGAGGTAACTATTATGGGTACATTCTGTCACCAGAGTTGTGTAACCAGACCACAGTGATAAGATGACAATGTTACATGGTATATCCACTCAAACACCCATACTAACCTAAAATTATGATAATTATAACACAACTCTAATATTTAGTTGACTACCATGCCACACTGCAAAGAGGCACACCAATGGCCCACTTAATTTGGTACATTATGAGGCCTTATTCCTTGGAGTTCTTGGTAAAGATAAGGCCAGTGGCATATGGTAAACTGGGCGTATGGTAAAACAGCATTAACCTTTATTCACTAAGGTTTAGTGTTGTATTTAGCATGGTGTTAGCAGTGCTGAAGACACTGTGGCACCGGAAAATAATTGCGTTTGCACCTAATGGGAGCCACATTTTATTCCCAAACAGTGTAGTATCACTGTACCAATGGACTGGCTTTGTATTTTGGGGGACCTTGGTATAAAGCCCATGGACCGACTGACCTAATATCAACTGGGGTACCTTAGTATATGGTCCCTAAACAGATTGACCAAATTTCAACTTGGGTACCATGATATAACTGTGATATATTTCTAATTGGGTGTCACTGGTTTGTTTCCACAGTATAACCCCTATCACACCGTGCACCCCACGGACACTACACTCAAGGGATGGAACTTCTGTAAGTGGTCATTGAACAAGTTTGGTGTGACTAACCATGTTACACAGGGTGCAGATGAAGGTTTGGACCACTTCACAAGGATCTGGTTTGACTTAATAATTTGAGATCAGAATTTTGTCCTCTACAATAAAATAAGCATTGGTCAAAACCATAGGCTATAAATGCTATAGTCCACTAAGTTTTTACTGAGTTGGCTCATAGGAAATTCAAAATGTTTTGACAGATTCAAGTTTGGCTGTTCTTTCTTTTGGAATTAAACCAGCACTTTTCTTGCTCAATTTGTTGAGTGCACAACTTTTCATTTTCTTGGATGGAGCAGGCCCATGTTTACATCAGATATATTTGATATCAAATGTCATACTCATCTTTGACCAACTTGGTGTTGCCCAAACATCTCTATCTGCACCCTGGTGTGTTTATATTATTATAGCATCTATAACATCACAGAAGATTATTCTTACTGATGCCTGAACAATATTGTATGATACGGTGGATGAAACAAAAGTTTGTTGATTTGAGTTTGTCAGCAGAAATAAGTGAACTTTCACAAGATTTTATGCTTTGCTTTATCTTCAATTTCTGTCAGTGTTTGCCACTTTGTGAAGCTTGGTTCTTGGCAAAAATGTCATTTTATGTATGTCTTGTGTCAAGCCATCTTTTGGTTATACTAATTATTTGAAAGAGTTTTTTTTTTTTTTTTAGAAATGTATTATTCAAATTCTGTAATTCCTTATCTTCATCTAATAAATATCCAAGTCTTATTTTTGTCCAAAATAGAAATAAAAAACGTTTGAAGATAATAACAAAAACAGATAAGCAAAGGTGATTTTTTGCCAGGACTAAGCATAACTTGCATTGATGATTTGTAGAGTTCTTGCATTCACTGCCTAGCTTAATGTGTGGATTTTACATTATTTTTAGTTTTGTTAGTTAAAAATTTGTTTACAGATAAATAAAATATGTGGTCCAGACAGATATACCATCTAATGTACAAATCAAATATAGCAATAATGATTCCATAGCCCTTTATCTACATCATAGGTCTCCTTTGCATAGTATTAGATTTTTCCTAGAATTTTATATTGGATATATTCTTAAGACAAAACCAGCATGAGACAAGGTTTTCTTACGATTTGTTGCTCCTTTTTTTCCCAAATTGCCTGATTAATAATCTAAAATGGTACAAGGCAGTCTTGATTTTTTAAGGTTCTAGTGTGGATTATAATTTTGAACTGAAATACTGGAAGCATGGGGCAAAAGTTTTGTAAAATGCATCACCATTTGTCAGATACCTCAGTCAAGTTTTGTCTTCTTGGTGTATGACAACTGTTTATTCAAAGCACATGAAGTTTTTAAGTTTTGTAACCCTTGGTGTCTGATATATTTGCCACAGTTTGTAATATTCTGGATTGATGTGGTTGCGTTGAATGCATGGATCAGGAAGGGGGGGGGTGTATAGAATTTTTTAAAAAGGCAAAAGCTGCACCTTTGTCAATTCATGCTAAACTTAGTTTTACACTGACAAACTTAGTTTTTTTTTTTTGTAGAAAATTGGCAATATTAAAAAATAATTTGAAGGGGGATAAATTTACAAATTTAGAAATCTGTATACAATTAAATTTTCATGGACATTTTACTGTATGCACATGTTGTTTCTGTTTAGAATTTTGTTAATTTTGTGATAAATCCTAAACCACATTCACTTCTTGATGTGCATAGTGCGAGCTGTAGTTAAGCAGCCCATGCTTAGAGCTGTACTCACTTTGCTGTGTTTAAGTGTGTGATACTCTAACCCCAGCTTCTCTGAATATATGTTTACTTAGGAAAATTTTACTTATAACATCTGGTTGAGATCCTGCACAGACTACACATTTATAAATCTATTTTTGACCTTTCATCCAGAAGTTTGTATTAAGCGTGTATTTTTTCTTTTATTCATTTATTTTCAGAGATTGCTTATGCCTCATCCTCCCTCTCTTGCTGCTGATAGTAGAAAGCATTTGAATTCACATCTTTTATTGTGTGATTTATTTCTTTTAGGTCAACAAGTCTGTTGATTTAGCTAACATTGACATTGTTTTATTATAAATTTTTTATTAGTTTTGTAAATTATCGACCTTGTAGATTTTTTATCTGAAAACGTTTTTATTGTTTTATAGTCTAGTCAGATTATTAGTTTTAAAAAAATTGAGACATTTTGCATTATTATGATTTAATTCAATTTAGTAACTAAAAGTTAAGATAATTGGTTAATCAGATGTAAAGTTGAATTATAAGTGAAGTTGAATTTCAAGTGAAAAGGAGTATTCTAATTCATTTTTTATCGATCTGCAGTCATAAAATTTTGATTTATATTAGTAAATGATTATTTCATTCACTTGCTCAGATGCAGATATTTTATTTTCATTTTCAGTCATGGATATTCATGTTAAATGAATAACTCTGTCTGTAAGCAATATTATTTGATGCTAATATATCTCTACTGTTTAAAAATAATGTTACTGTTATGTTTATAAGCTGGTGTCAAAGCAAGGCGTTCTAACAGCTGGTCAGAGTATGAAGATGTCAACTACAAGTTTGAGGAGTGGAGAGATCCAGATGAACTGGAGAAAGAGAGACATGAGTGTAAGATGAGGTAAGTTTGAGGAGTGGAGAGATCTGTATGAATGAGAGAGAGAGAGAAGTGAGTGTAAGATTAAACAGACAACACACTCTTGTGTTAGAAAAAGTAAACAACACCCTTGGTGAGCTAAACTAGTTGTTGTTTGTCTGTCTGTCGTATATATTTTAATCAGTTTTTCTACAGATTTAAACTGTGTGGTCTGCTTTTATTATCTTTATTGTTACATTTTAGCTTGCTAGCTCTAAAAGTAGTAGATAAGTAGTTTTTTTGCCTGGATGGAAAATGTAATGCATGGTAAACAAGAATCTACCTTAATTGACTTATTTTTATATTTATTTGAAAGAGATAAGATATGCTATGCATTCCTAATTCAGGTTACTGGATCCCCGTAAATTGGTCCAGTACGATTCATTCAAGGAGATCTATGGCAACATCTTGTACCGCTGGGGGTTGAAGGACAAAAGAGCCATGGTACTCAAGTACTGCTATCTGGAGCCCAAACCACACAAGGGACTATGTGAGTTTGTATAATATTGTACTGTATTGGAATCATTTATATTATACTGTACTGTACCATACCATACCATGCTACATGACTATGTGAGTTGGTATAGTGTTGTACTGCAATATACTGCCACCATACTCCATACTGAAGCGTAATGTATCATACCTTGCCATATTATAGGGACTATGTGAGTTTGTATAGTATTGTACTGCACTGCAATCATTCATACTATACTGTACTTTACCATAATGACTTGGTTTGTTCTATAGGCAGTGTGTTTCCATGGAAAATGGGCACTGTCCAGTTAATGCCAGCAGAGGAGGGATGAGATAAATGTGTGTGATTGTGTATGTGTTGTGTTTCAGTTCAGTTTATACTGACAGAGGAGGCACCAGATAAACCATTGTGTGTGTGTGGGTGGGGGCGGGTGTGTTTCAGTTCAGTGTGGATGGGTGGGTGGGGGCGGGTGTGTTTCAGTTCAGTGTGGATGGGTGGGTAGGGGCGGGTGGGTTTGCAGATATGTTTTGTGTTATGTTGCAGGTCAGTTAACCAGCAGAGGAGACAGAAAATAAAACCATGTGTGTGCATGTTTGTGTGTGTTTTGTTTCATTTTATTTCATTAACCTCAGAACTGAGAAACAAGTGCTTAAGTGGTAAAATGATGTATTTATGTTTCAGCATTTGTGACCATCTGTTTCTACTGCCGTCAGGAGACCCGAGTGGGGCAGTGTGGGACGTGTAAGAACTATGGTCTGCAGTGCTCTATATGTCATCTGGCAGTGAGAGGTCAGTGTCAAGGTCATAGTAGAGGTCAAGGTCATAGTATAGGTCAAGGTCATAAGATTACCAGTAGAATACTGAAATATATTAGCCAAGTGGTACTTTTGTGTATTACTTAATGTACAAAGTCAAGGGTATAATTCAAGAACTTGATAAAGTTTTTAGAGTTATTATTTATGAGACCTTTTACATCTGTGTAGAATGCACACATGAACATAAACTTTATGTCTGATGTTTAGTTATGTAAAAAGTTCAGTCCTTATCATAAAAGATAAAAAAAGAAAAGAAGACTGCCTCCAAGTACGAATTACACAGTTGTTTTGATCCAGAATAATGTCTTCACTGACTGTTGGCTGTATCTCCACTCTGTGAGACCAGTTCTATTCATGTTTCTTATTACCCACCTGTATAATTCCAGGGTGCTCTAACTTCTGCCTGACATGTGGTCATGGTGGTCACAGCTCTCACATGATAGAGTGGTTCCGTACACACACTGTCTGCCCCACTGGGTGTGGCTGCCGATGTCTGGAGGACAACTGGATGTCACCAAGCTGAGGATGTCACCAAGCTGAGGATGATGACAATGAGATGACAACTCTATCAGCATGTCTGTGACCCATTTTAAAATGTGTCCACCTGTTTTACAATTAGCTGAATGTGAAATTAGGGAGACAGATCTTTAAAAAAAACAATTACATGCCTGTATGCCTACAAGCTGAAGATGGTGACAACTAACTGCACGTTAGTGTCAAGTTTTAAAACTCATCCATTGGTTTTAGAACCAATTGTATATGAATTTTTTTAAAGCTGCTGATATATCTAAACCTACCTACTCATCCAGGAGAACAACTGGATAAAGCTGGGCTGTGAATGAGAAAAATCCAACCTCATTTCTGTGACTTATTTTTAAAATTGTCAATTTGTAAATAAGAGCTATGGAATTGATGAAAAATGCAGAAAAGCCATACAAAGGGTATGATGGTGAGAAGCTGTGATGTCACATATTTAGAGCAAATTGGAATGTGAACTGTGATGAGAGCCAGTTTCACAATGAACCTCATATTGAGGAGGGTCAGTAGATCTACCCCCTCCTTCTGTGTTGTTTGAAACTACATTATACCAAACACTTGGGAGATTTAAGAGACAAAGTGAAGGATGTAAAACAGCCCTCTGTATTATATGCCTAAATGGACAGGAGAAAGTACTGTTTACCCCAGGAAAATTGTATTTGTATTAATATTTCATGGGAAAATCCTACATTGTGTACCTTTCAATCTCCCTTCTGTTTTCCTGTTTAGTTACATTAAAAGCTTATTTGTGAACCATTTAGATGCAAATTATAAAAGGTTGGTGTCAAAGTAAAACAATACGCATTCATGTTAAGAGTCATACCATGATCACAGACTATAACTCATTTCACAGGACACTTTACCACAAGAAACTGAAAAGAAAAACCAATATGTTTTGGTAACTGCTGAATTATAATTGTTTTCATTTTGAACATAATGAAAGAAAACGCATGTACAGGTAGTATGCATTTGACTTTTTATAGTGCTTGGACTTTTTATTACAAAATTTGATTTGGTTAAAGACACGCATGATGGTTTTTTTTATTTGATATAAGCTTATTGTTTGAAAATTACTTTGTTCTCAAATTTTGAAGGAGAATTAATCTGAATGTTAAGTTGCAGCACATAATGGAAAAAGTGGGCCGTACATTTAGTTATTAGTTTCATTGATAAAATTCATCAGTCACCTTATCATGCTCATTGCACAGTGTTGGTTGTAATTAGAAATGTAAAGATATTTATTATGCTAATGAGCTGGTCTCATTTCTGTAAAGATCTAAGAGTTGTAACTTAGGTGGTGAAGGTTTAGTTTTAGTGAGACAGTTTGTCTCTTGCATGCTAAGAAATAGTGACTTGATATTTCAAAACTTAAAGAATGTACTTGTAAGTTAATGACCAGGCACAGTTTCTCTGGACATTTGACCTTCACCTGAGAACATTAACACAATATAAGGAAAAACCAACTTATTTATTATAATCAAACTTACTAGAATGATTCCTATGACTAAAGCACAGCTCTTCTAATAGTTTAAAAATTATCTGGATTTATAGGTTATACGTTTTTAAAAATTTTATTTCATTTTACAAATTCCTGTTTTCATGTAACTGAATTTCTCTGGTTGGGAAAACCTGAGCTTGTTACATTTGCTGAATATCTACAGCAGCAATACATGGTTAAAAATTGGTGATGATTATGCTGTTAAGCATTATGGAATATTGCATCAAAATTGAAAAATAATTGTTCACTGTCATCATAAATACAATAAAAGAAAAAAAAACTGTTACTTCTTATTCTAATATTTACAGGACTGGCACCAGGGACAAAAACGCAGCTCGAGTTCAATTGAATATTTTTATAGTTATTTTCATTCTAAGATTTACATTTCTGATTTTATTTGACATTTTACAGTTCATCAACCAACACTATCAAACAAACAAATGTAACAATGCAACATCCTCCCCCCTGCTTATCGCATTACTTACACTTATTCCATTTGCAGTACCTCCCCCTTTTACTTAAGGAAATTATTTTTACCACACATTTCCTTCAGGAGTTGCTTGCTAGATGTAATTAAATGAATGTGCTTTGGCCCCATGCTGTATCCACTTTGCATTTTGTTCAGATAACATAGGCAGTTCCTTCACCTGCCTGTTATGTAAACTCTAAAGGTTTGGCTCATTCTGACTTGGGGTGGGATATATACAGGTACTGTCACAACTACTGTACAGTATTCTCGATAAGAAAAGAGATACTGTCACAACTACCGCATTCTGATTAAGGTCCCTTCTTTTAAGAGTTAAAACTACACCTATGTCAAAGAACAAACAATTATTCGTGCAATGGTAAAACACAACTGAGGATAATATAAATTAAGCATTATTTTTATTCAATGGTGGATTTAGAAGGGGGTCCTGACACACCCCTTCGGTTTCTGAAAAACATGTCACACCAATATTCCCCTCTTGAAATTAGTATTTTGACTAGCCGAATCATAATGCTAAACTGTTCTAAAGGGCACCGTTTGCCCTCTAAAACACCAAAAAATTTTCGTGGACCTTGAGCAGGCCCAGAACCCCACGCCAAGGGGGTGATGATCGGCTTCGCATCCGAGGCCAGTTGTTCCGCCCCCCCCCCTCCCCTCCCCCCACTTCAAGTAATCCTGGATCCGCCCCTCTTTAGTACGACACTAAATATGATCGATGTAGGCGATGATATTTAAGCTCCAATTATTTTCTTAGCTGCCGAATTTTAATTTTATTTGTAATAAAAAAATCGAAATTAATTTGGATGTACTCAGTATGTCTAATTGATTGAAAAAACTTAGCTTTAAAGCTCAGTCAGTGTTTATTTTACTCAAGGTGAAGACTGTAAATGCAAATAATGCTAATAAATATCATGACAAACACTAGGAATCAGAAGGTAAAGTGAGTATTAATTAGCTTTCTGTCAGAGATGCTATTATAAACGGGATATATAGTCGGAAAGTACAACGCGCTTTTGTTTATAAGCTTTACTGGTAGATAGGGGCCTATTACTTACAATAATATTGATTACAATCTCTCTCTCTCTCTCTCTCTCTCTCTCTCTCTCACACACACACACACACACACACACAATATATCCGAGTACTGAGATCAAAAATCCTAGTTAATGTTAGTATGGAATATATATGAAAGGAAATAAGCGAAACACCTTTGAATTTTATCCATACCATGACAGGAAAGGAATTCATTTCATAATGCTTTCGTTTGGCACTTCTTCACAGAAAAATACACAACAATTACACAGCAACAAAATGGTAATATGTTTCTACAGTGTTTTGTACGAAAGCTTTGTCCATGGGGAGTATTAAAATAAAAAAGAGATGATCCAAAACATTGATATTTCACTGCTCCTAAATAATCCTAGGTTCCCCATTGCTTAAACGTTAAAGATAAAAGATGAAAATGATTAGATTATAAAATAATCAACTAGTAAGTAATTATAAATGGATGTAATTCATATATATATCTAAATCTAAAGTGCCAAGATAAAGTTGTTTCCGCCATTGAAATAACACTTTTGCTATCGCTCGAATGGAAGTACTTTTTGAGTCTTGTAACAGCTACACGTAGTCTGAATAAAGTGGTATCATGAATTAGAAAAAAGAAAAATAGCAATCATGGAAAATTTTTTTCACTGTCAAAACATTGCGGATTCAAGATTATTTACATCATCATCTCTCACATAACAGTCTAAAAGTTGTATCAGTGCCCAAATGAATTCGTGCGTGCGCGTCCTATCAATCAGTGCATCCTTTTCAAGCTCAATTAAAGTCCTTGGGCCTTATCATCATTTTCGTGGCCTTCAACGAGTACTTATACCCCGTAAACGTCTCCCAGTTGATTCCTTTCCCAGCGTCATCGTGTGTTCCCGGTGAAGGTCGGTACCATCCGTTAAGGTTGGCAGTCAGACAGCCGCTGCCCGTGGGGTACCACCAGCCGCCCCCGTAGTATAAATTACACGGAAACAGCGCCGCCGGGTAGGACAGATCTGTGTTTGTGAACGGAGCGTAGTTGTGAGTGCTTAAGGAATCGTCTGAAATATAATAGATCAAACATGAACACAGGACAAGCTGTGAATATTTCATACAAGGCTTGGGTACTGGCAAGGAAATTATGTGCCCAAGTAAAAACTTGGTAGGTCTAACTTTTCTTCTACATGTGAACTATACAATCTGCACCCGTAGAACGACATGCTGTCCCGTTAAACCGCCTATACCCAGCCTTACCTACTGGCGTTTAAGTACCTACTGTCCTATTATAGTAGCTGTACACGAACCTACAGCCCCGTACGTTATACCAGCTGTACCAGTACCTACACAATTTCTACAAATTCTTCCCGTACCTACTGTCCTATTTTATGAAATGTACCCATACTGTCCTATTATAGTAGCTGTACCTGTACCTACTGTCCCGTTATACCGGCTGTACCTGTACCTACTGTCCTATTATAGTAGCTGTGCCTGTACCTACTGTCCCGTTATACCGGCTGTACCCGTTCCTACCGTCCCGTTATACCGGCTGTACCCGTACCTACTTTCCCGTTATACCGGCTGTACCTGTACATACTGTCCTATTATACCGGCTGTACCTGTACCCACTGCCCCTTATACCGGCTGTACCTGTACCTACTGCCCCTTATACCGGCTGTACCTGTACCTACTGCCCCTTATACCGGCTGTACCTGTACCTACTGCCCCTTATACCGGCTGTACCTGTACCTACTGTCCCATTATACCAGCTGCACCACACCTACTGTTCCGTAACTCCAGCTGTGTGCCAGTACCTATACTGTCTCGTTGTACCAGTTGTACCAGTTGTACCAGTCCCTACACAATTTCTGCGAACCATACATGTTCCTACTGTCCTATTATATGAAATGTACCCATACCTGCAGTCCCGTTACTGTAGAGACCAAGGGTCAAGTTGTACCAGTTGCTCTGGTCATCCACTTTGAAGAAGTCATAAAGCGCCCAGCCCACAGACCCGTTAAAACACTCCATGTGGATATACAGCTCTTGGTCGGCTTGGTTTGTCAGGCGGTGGAGGTTGTTGTTGCCTGTGGATGATATAATGTAACTTATTAGAGAGAGAGAGAGAGAGAGAGACGAAGAAGAAAAAAGGGAACAGACCTAAATTACTGAGGTACTAGCAATCATAAAATGAATAAGGAACTCCCTTTCTTTTATTTGTTATATAGTTGAAAAGATGGCTGTAGGGAAGATTGTAAATGAGTCACATATTTGACACTCACCCAGCCAAAACTCTGTATTTAAATCACCAAATCCATTTCTATAATCATCAATGGTGGTGTTGAAGTGAACGCTTCCGTCGTAACGGCGTTGAAAGACCTGGAAAAAAGCCGTTATTTTTATTATTATGCACATCTGATATAGAGAGTTGTAAACAGACAGCCGAGTAAACTTTACATATCGTTTTCTTGGTCGGGCACTAAATTCTGCCCTTCACAATTTGATTTTCTAAATTTAATAAAACCCGATATTGTTGGAAAATGAGGATTAAATATTGATACAAAACAATCAATAATAGGCCTAGCCTATATTTTTTCCTCGGCGGTGGGGGGGGGGGGGGGCAGATCTAAGGTCAAAGGCTTTTTTTATATGTAATTTCTAGATAAAGTTTCAAGTTGAGTGTGGGGAGGGGGCGCTGGTGGAAGTTAGGGGAATACACACCGTCCATCCACCCCCGGCTGTGGTCATATCACATACAACTTGAACTGATGAACCGCCATCTATCGGACTAATGGTATATATTCCATCTGTCGTCTGCCCATTTAGGTAAAGCTCTGCGCAGTCTTTTCCTGAAACTGAATAAGAAAGATGATTTTATGATGTTGACTTTTTCATCACAGTTTTTCATCAGCGTCCAAAACTACCATTTTTAAAAAGCCGTTTGATTTATGTATTGTTAGTCATCTGTTTTTCCTAATTACAAAGAAAAATGATCTGTTTCCGCTCCAAGTGCGTTTTTTGCCTCACACATTGTTGTACGCTGTTCATATATAAAGCTGATGAATCAATAGTAAGCGATTCTATTACAATCGTATAGCAATTAATAAAGCAAACTCCAGAAAGATGATGAAATTAGGCCTATATGTACATTGCTTCTTATTCCAATATAATATATTAAAAAGAACGGTAAAAAAGTCATTTTAACGTGTGTGTGTGTGTGTGTGTGTGTGTGTGTGTGTGTGTTTGAGAGAGAGAGAGAGAGACAGAGAGACAGAGAGAGCTCACCTTCATCACAAGCATCACCGGTCCACCCCGGACTACAGGAGCAGATGAACCCCCTGTTACACCCCGTGGAGGAACAGAACCCATTGTTCAGACACGGACTGGAGGTACATGGATCCAGCGGGTACGGGATCTTTAATATAGACGTGAAATAAATATATAAATACAAGTATACACAGTATACAAGTATACGTGAAATAAATATATAAATCCAAGTATATATATATATATATATATATATATATATATATATATATATATATATATATATATATATATATACCCGGTATATAGTATTAATAACAGGAAAAACGTGTAGAAATAAAGCTGTGTTTTGACTTTTCTTGTGATTATATTCTCTTGCAGTTGTTTTTTTTTCCTTCATTCAATCATCCATTATTTCGTTCGTTTATATATTATTTAGTTATGCTTTATCCAAGGTTTGATTTAGGCGTATCTATTGCTATATCCTATCTAATCAAGATTCAGATTTCTTTATAGTTAATTAAGGGGACATTCCGCCTGAAACCCAGACAGGGTGAGCTTAAAGTTTGTTTTTGTCCTTCAGGGTACTTCGTTAGAACCGTTTTTATACACACGCCACATGGACTGTTAACCAAGAAATGTCACTGCAAAAAATGAAAGCAGCTGCAATATTTATCTAGTATAATACGCTCTCTGGGATCCACTTACTGCGGTTTAACTCATCATTCAACCGTATTACACTGCTTGACACGTTCATATGTTCATCAAAGAGAGACAAAGGAACGCACGGCTGACTTCATTAAACTCGCGCTCGCCAAACACAATGCTAATCGTCTGGTAGAGTTTTTATCCGAGTTTCCAGACGACACTTTTCACGGTGCGCGTTTCCTTCCTTAAATAGATAGCCAAAACAAACACTTGATCATTTTTCCGGCAAATGACATTTTCAAAATGTTTATGGTCAAAGCCCTTTGAGTGATGATGAAAATTATTCTTTTAATTGAGTAGAAGAACCAAATGTAATTCCATCGAACCTCAATATGTTTTATTGTCTAATTCAGTCCTCACGTGAGACTCTTTTTATATTTTATAAAACAAAAGCTGTATATTCACCACCCTGGTTGTTTACTCAACCCGTCTTTCATCAGTTATAGCAAACAACAGGCCGCAAAGCCAAGTTTTTTTTTCAGTGAGCAGTTCAATCGGAAAATTGCTCTCACTGACCAGTATTTGCACATAAACTTATATCTTGAAGCAATCACCAGAGACCATGCTCTTCATTCTGAGACAAAGTCATTAATTTCCTAATCGTTGGTCACACGCACACGTTTTCACATTAACACCATGGGAATAACCTTGAAACCATGTTAAACCAGATTCCCTTTGATACTGCGATGAACGTCAGACTCACTGAAACGTGGAGTTTTTTTTTTCTTTTTCTTTCTTTCTTTTTTTATTTTTTATTATTTTTATTTATATTTTTTTTGAAGAATGCGTTTCACATGAAGGTTAAAGCATTGTCTTTTAAAGAATTTTTTATTCGAATTCATATAAATCTTTTCATAAAAAAGAAAGAAAGGCACAAAGGAAGGATGGAAGGAAGAAGGAAAAAAATCAAATTAGTAAAATGGGTGAGTTATTTTTTTACGATGGAATCAAAGGAAGGAGTGAGGAAAAAAACGAAATATCAATAATAAAAACATAATGATTATTATATTATAAAGAAACTCAAATACGTGCCTCGCCTCATTGATCTGCTCATTACCTATCACCTCAGCGGGCGGATTAGTTTGGAGGCTGCAGTCGTTCAGCAGAGCAAAATAACAAAAGATGCGGATATTTGTGAATGTTTCGGACAACAGAGGATGTTTGTTATTGTATTAAGTTTCGCGGCTGAACGCTGGAAGCCTAGCTTTTAATTTGAGCCAATGCACTATGCACTATTTTTATCATTTTGTACAGTAAATTAGAAATAAGGGTGAATATATCGATTCTAAAAAGTATTCCGAGACAATTAATAGGTCATCACTAAATAAAGGAACCTAAATTGAAATCTTCAAACTGACCCTAAGTATCGCTTACTTTCGATGAAAATATAACAGAGAGTTGAAATATAGAGTGCATAAAAAGGAATAAATAACGTAATATGAAAAAAATGCAGAAGAAAAGATCGACGTAAAATGTCAGAAAATATGTGTTTTGGAGGACCTGGGCATCGATCCCAGTACCTCTCGCATGCTAAGCGAGCGCTCTACCAATTTGAGCTAGACCCACGACGGGTCCACGTGAAGGTTTAATGAATTCTCTGTTCATAACATCAATTTTAATGTCAAACTCTCTATAAACCAGTAAGAAAAACCTAATGAGGTACATTTCTTTGCCTCTTTCAAGTGAACGAATTCGAGTTGTTATTTCAGAATTCCTTCACCCCAGAGAAAGAACCTGTTTCATTGGACCGATCACACGCACACAAGTCATGTGACCTTGATGCCCGCGCTCCCGCGCTTTTCTGAATTTCTTTGATCTACGATTTTCCCAAAAATTCATTGACCCCTTTTATTTTACTATCAAATACGTGTCAAAATCATTGTGATCTCGTCTCTTCTTCGACTTTAATTATGTGGGATAGATAGAAATCTCATTTAGGTCCCCTAATGCCAGCTAGTGGCAGACCATCTCAGGTAAACTGACCCTACCTGTACACTGAAGCGGAAACTTTAGGCAGTTTAAGTTAGGTATTGTATATTTTTCTATTAGTGGGTACCCGTGCCCTTATCTTTCTGAAATACTCTATACCGCAGTGTGATATAGACGCATCATAAAATGGTTATTTAGAATGCTGTCAACACTTACGTAATTAAAGCGCAGACCAGTGCNAACTGACCCTACCTGTACACTGAAGCGGAAACTTTAGGCAGTTTAAGTTAGGTATTGTATATTTTTCTATTAGTGGGTACCCGTGCCCTTATCTTTCTGAAATACTCTATACCACAGTGTGATATAGACGCATCATAAAATGGTTATTTAGAATGCTGTCAACACTTACGTAATTAAAGCGCAGACCAGTGCATAATTATTCACGCAAGGTAACAAGAAGGGGGTCTAGCTCAAATGGTAGAGCGCTCGCTTAGCATGCGAGAGGTACTGGGATCGATGCCCAGGTCCTCCACATTCTCTTTTTCTTCGGCTACAAATGTTGAAAACCTGCAGAGGCACATTTCTTTTCGTCAGTTGTTACGATTATAACAAATATTGCCAAATATGTTGACGTGTCCGAGCTATGGCTTTTGCAAAACTATCTATAACTATAAATTCTAACATTTAAGAAGGTAAATAAATATTTTAACTTGCCGTACTTGAAAAATTGTGATGTACAAACAGAATGTTAATAGCCTACTGTGCTTCCAGCAATTTCTTGCATTTCACGAGTAGGCATTATTTGACCTTCATCCTTCAAAGATCTACAAAGATGCTAAACAGAATTCGCATAGCAACTACATGTAGGCCTACACGCAGAGATAAACTTAGGCCTATGTATATATACATAGACATGTGCTCTTTCCTGTTTACATTGTCTATACAGGGTAGACCTATATAATTCTTACAGCAATTTGAGCAATACTCAAGGTCTTTGTGCCAATGCGGTATAGTAGGCCTAACTAGGAAATTGATAAATTGGAAGGGCCTATTTAGTGAAGTCAGGTAGCCTACATGTAATGATGTGTGTCTTGTGGTTTTGTGAAAAATGTCCCACCGAAACTGAGGAAAAAGACATCAAGTTTTTGAAATAGTCTCTCATTTTTTCTAATAACTTTTCTCAAATGAATGATGTCGAACAGGTTTTTCAAATTTACATTTCCTTCGTCATTTAATTAAGAAACATTTTTTTTTTGTAAGGGACCACCTTTTAGATTTTCTAGAGGAATTGTATATTTTATTACCCTTCAGTTATAAATTTTCAACCCACTTACTCGTCCCTTTCCATCGTCAAAGAGGGCATCCCAAGACGAAAAATGTTTTAGGGCGTTTTCGTTTTGTGAGTAGTTGTGAGTGTTGATCTTTCCTTGAAATAATCAATTTTTTTGCACTCTAAATCTGCTTTTGACTCTTTGGGAAAAAAAAACTTCAATAAATCCAATAATATGGGCCTATCAATCAAGAAACAAGATATTTTACACAGATCTTTTTTACCTTTTTGGTGCAGTCCTTCACAGCACCGGCTTTCCATACAGCGTCAGCAGGATATGCAGCGATATTTTCAAAGTCCACCATCTTCGAGCTCAGCTCACAAACGCCGCTGTCCATGTTAAAATTATACGACGAGCACTCTGCCATGTTCACACATTTTGAGGCGCAGACGATAAAACTCGGGGCCGTCGTCGCCGAAATGACGCTGTCGGTTACTCTCACCGCTGTCTTGATGCGAAACAGTCCCGATCTGACTTCCGAAGATTCTCCCCGAGACAACAATATGATGAAGAAAGGAGCTAGGAACTGTATGTAAAACTTTCCTTTTGTCTCACGGACCATTTTAAAGCGCTAATCTTCTCGTTATTATATTATTGTAGAAGAAATTCTATTTTGGTATTCAACGACAAATTCTGCTCGTAGAATCAATTCTTGCGCGTGTATGTTTCATATCACTGAAACATTTTTCATCGTAAATGAAAAAAATGCATTGGTTGCTAATGACTCTATAGAGGTTTTCAACACCTTCTTCCAGTATACCACGTCCTCCAGGCTCTGGCGAAGACTTGAAACCAACGACGATTTCCCTTTCACAGATAATTTCCTATCGTCTCTGCTTGTAATATGGCGCAATAAAGAACGCATCACATGGGATCGCTCTCTTTCCTCGGAAACGTAGATTTAAGGTGTGTATTAAATCGATCATTATTTTATCTCGGCTCAAAGGACGGTCTATAGGCAGTATGACGTCGGGGACAGGTTTCCGATCATTGTATGTTTTTCGGTCTCGCGTGGATTACTTTGAAAAGATGATACATTAGCGAAAGTGTGTGCTAACATTACCGTGTTTGGACTGCGATGTCAGTCTTCATTTTTCACGGCGTCAGTGAGTAAAATATCTGTTTCTTTGATATTTGTACTTTTCTATTACGGAAATCTTAGATGCCATGATAAACGGCTTAAATATGAAATGACATATCTGTTAAAGTAAGCACTTTCCATTTTTTCAATGAAAAATAATATCATCACAAACTTTTAACGAATAATACCAACAACCTTTATTGAGTAAATCTCTCTGAAGAAAAATATAAATGAAGACCAAATACATGGACGTATAATTAAAGATTGCCATAATACAAAGCAAACAAATAATATTCAAATACTCTTTAATATTATCTTAAATACATAGAATATACAAGTTTGAAAATTCCATAGTGATTGGCAATTAAGGGTAGCCTAATATTCACTGATACTTTAAAAAGCTTGGTGAATAAATCATATTTGTCCAGGCATACGGTGAAGATAGGGCGTTCATCACCAATAAGTACAACTGTAGGTGTATATTTATAAGTGTAAACCAATGGCAAGCAATAGAATGGCACGCTTGCAATATTGAGAGGACGCTATCTCAGCCATAAACACACACACACACGCACACAGCCAGGGCCACTTCAGTAAGAACACGGCACTAAAACATGTATAAAATCATCTGTAATATTTATCCATTCACCAGGTCTAAACATTGCATAGGGGAATTAAATATATATATATATAATCTGGCTTTCAAATATTGACATTGTTAAATGAGAAAAATGACTTTTTTTTAGCTTGTTTACTTTACTACGCCTATGCCATGATGTCTATAAGAAGATATGACTTCTGACAGGAAACAATTCAGAAATCAACACCTCTGAAATCAAAATAAGTGAAGGAACAAATATAGCCTCTGGCGAATACAGACGGAGAATTCAGTATTATATTCCTTTGAGAGAACCCCGGAGAATTCAACTTCACACATTGTATGGATTTTAACGACCATTAATAGGCCATAGGCCGCATTAAGAACAATGGTCTAACTAGTCCGAGGATCAAATATGGCCGACCCAATTAAATAATTTATCCCCACGGGAAATCTATTCAGTGTCTATTAGCGGATTAGACGGCAAGCTTTTTAGTGGGTCTCCATATTTGACCCGCGGACTAGTTAGTCCCCTGTTCTGAATGCGGCCTATAGACTCTTGATAGAATTAGGAGAAAATCCTTGTTCTTGAATGATGTGAATAACATTAATTTAAGTCTGAAATTAAGTAGCAGTATGAACCAACACAGTCAACAGCATTAGCAACATTATTAACAAGTAGGCCTACAGTACCGTCAACAATGCTGTCGTTGTGCAACAATCTCGAGCTGTATTTTACGTCACACAGCATTGTTATACCACGTAGTATCATAGAATTCTCTACTTCTATGGTAGTATCTAGTGCCCAGCAAACACATAACGTTATAACGTTACCATAACGTTAATTTTACCAAAAAACGATATGGCCTTGGAATGGTAATAGGTGAGCGGCAGAAGGCCAAAATTTTCAGATTTAGTGTCCCCTTTATACACAGACCTGAATTATATATCATTTGAAAGCTCAGAGTCTGCTGGTCAAAGTTAGCCATGATGTGGAAATGGCAATTGCCTGCGTAACCATGGAAACGGACAATTTCCAAGATGGCCGCCTGTTTTTTTGCATTTTTTCTAAAAATACAAATCATTGATAAACATACCTTAAACATTGTCTATCATCTAACCTTTACATGTTTTGTGATGAGGGAGATTATGGGCTAAAAAAACACCATACCAGAATTTCAAGATGGCCGCCGTTTTCAAGATGGCCGCCATTG